CACTTGCTTGCCATCAGTCACTTTCTGTGCCAAAATTGGGCTATCGGTTTTCTCAACGCTTGAACCACCGTCCAATCAAGTGAGGTATATCGCATGTGAACAATGCATGCAATCACACTCCTCGTAACTTTATTAAACCTATATGGAAGAAATCACTCCATCGAATTCGACCGTTAGTTCCCAAATGAGACCAACTGATAAGTCTAAGCAAAATCATTAAGGAATCTTTGAAAAGATGAAGCTGAACTGAAAATCAATCCATCAGGATTTGTGACTTGAGATCCAATCAGGTCGAAACTACTGCCTGGTGCTTCATAGTTTCGCAGTTCACTTTTCATTCGCTATTTACGCGATGAAATTCATTATATGGGGAAATCACGGAAATATGTACATATTAACTGATTAACACGTATGCCGATGTTCACTGTCAGAGTTCGCATGTCTGTACTCAGATCAGTCGTGTCGAGCAGCGAACAACTATTATCCGTTTGCTAAATTCCCAATTTGTTTGTTTATTCACAATCTATCAGATCTTACAAACACATTTGAAAATCATGACTATCAAAGAGAGATCAGAAGGGAATGTTTTACAAGAATCACAGGTGCATTTCATGCGTTAATTATAGTCGGAGGATGGGTTCACACTAGAGTTTTTATCAGAATGACCGCGATTATTGCTTGAACACCGTAGACGAAACAGTTGATCGATTCAAGCAGTGCGATATTGTTAATTTCAGTAATTCGATCATCTTGTTTTAGAACCTAACCCACGTCACCATCAAACGATCAAATCCTGCGTTGGCTTGAACGGTTTAAAGTTTCAGTGGAATGTCAAAATCAGGTTGTGAGAGTCTCCAACCGATTCATAACCCCGGAGGCTAGTGCTCTAATGAACAAGGGGCGAGGCCCGTGACAAGTTCACAAAGATGAGTTGTGCTATATGCTGTAAATGGAAAATGAAAAACGGTCTGATCATTTGTCCGGTGACCGAGTGACCAGCATGCTTGCGTTCTGCCTGTGAGACACGGGGTTCGATCCCCAGCTGGGTTGATGGATTAACACTGTTCATGTGACCCAGCAAGGTCGAAGTTTTGTGAGATGCTACACACATTTGTGAGTAGTATGTGAAATAGTGCGGTTGGCGGTATCCTTCAACGATTAAGAATTAGCAATACCACTGAGGGCGAATTGTTGTGTCTCAAAGAATAAATACGGACTGCTCCAGTCATTATCCGCTGTGCTGCCGGGAATTGCGATGACATGTTTCAAATGAGATATCTGTTATACGTATGCCAAATTATTGATTTCCGAATTGTAATCTGCAGTAAATAACTATCCTCAACCAGGCACCACTTTGTAGAATTATAACAGAATTAGCTATTCAGTGTTTTCTAGCTTTTCAATTTACGCTGCATTTGTTCTAAAAACAATGAATTCCCACCCCGCCCCTATGAAATATCATCATTTCTCTGTTTCAGATATTTTGCGCAAAAAGCAATCAATAAAAGCAGTGCTTACAGCCAAATGTGCAATCTATTTTCAGGAAGGGATGAGAATCCAAGCAAAAGAAGGTGATGAGATGTAAGCCAGAAGTAGTGTTAGACGCTGGTCTCTGGGACTATATAACAGTGAACAACACTGATCGATAGTCGTCTTCATCACAGAGGGCAGTGAGTTTTGTTCAAAATATGTCTGCCTGGGGTTTGTAATGAAGAGAAGCTGGCTGGATCAATTTCAGATTACGTCAAGAGCAATCGTCTATTCATTACGAATATCATCTCAGGACAACAAACCAAGACACAAATGTGTGCGACCACTAACCTTATTATCTCAAGTAAACTAGACCAATGGTCTCCGATCCACTTGTGGTCGACCGGGGGTTTAAAAACTATAGCATAAGCGAAAAACAGAAAATTGTGTATAAAACCTGCTTTCTATTTCAACTTTTAATCATCCATCCACAGCCTACGTGGTTGATGAGATGAAATTGTTACTAATCAAGATTCGGCAAATTCCAAACACCGTGCCATTTTACCAATCAGAACATTGCGTCCCATTTGACCCAACTGCAGAAGTCAGCTGCATACAGTCATTCAAATTACCCTGTGCTGCACTCGTGGAATTTCTAAGTAGTAAGGGTGTATTAAAGCCTCTCCGTTTCTGCTGTACTCAGACAGAACAGCTTAACCGAGGAGAATCCTTGTCCATATGTGGAAGAGGCTAAAGTCAACAGACGGTTACATAACCCGTATAATGTTTATCAATACTGAGTATATACACTTGGTTCACTCGAATTCTCCTATTACACGGCGTATCGTCATAAATCAAAATTAACTGAAACCGATTGAAGTTTGCAAGCAACCTTCTTACAATTTTCATGTATTTCACACTATTCAGTTACGGTGCCTCAATAATTACTTACGGTCAAACGGGAACTGGTAAGACATACACCATGTTGGGCGCACCCAACAAGCCCGGGATCATTCCCAGAGCGGCACGACACCTGCTCGTCCAGTGCCATCACCGAGCCCCATTGTGGACTTATCGTCTGAGCATCGCTGTGGTACAGGTAAGCCCACCGGAAACAGTACTCATCGGTTTTTTTCGCACTTTGATCCACGCACTATGAATGACATCATCCGGTTTTTACTCTTGGGGATTACGTAATGTGATGTATAAACTTAAGATAAACGAGTACCACTAGTCCTCAGTGTCAATCTGTTGTCTGCACAGATAGTTCTACCCAGTCGTAATTCGAGGTGTGAGCACAAAATCCGGCATATGGAATATGTACAGACCACATCTATGATAATCAGAAGAACTTTAGCTCGATTTGGTCTGTGTTCTCACCAGTTAACGAGAAATAGCTGTAGTAATACAGACTGACAACTGATACTGCTTCAATGCTTCGATGACAGAACGTAAAGATGATTTATTAACTCCAGAATTGTAGTATTTATTTGATGACTAGATACAGCAGGAAGAGTGGGGACTATATAAAGAAAATTCAAGCATTCACTGGTTCATCGTTGATATCAAAAAAGGAAATTTCACTAAAGTTGAAAGGTAGCATTTTCTATACTGAAGTGAGGGTGACTCTACTCAGAAAGCTTTGAGTATGTTTCAATCACATAGGTCCCGTTAGGCTCCCTCGATGGGGACCTCGGGATGATCGTAACCGATGGTTAAAGACACTGTGTGATTTCCATGTCGCCTGTTTGCCAAGCTTGGCAACTCGTTTGCAAATGTTTCATCATCAACTTCGGTGACATCATCAGTGCATGTGAACTGGTTGAGTGATTCGGCTGGGTGTCGTAAACAGTGACGTTCGTGTATCTTCGCAATTTGAGAACACACATTCAGAGGCGAACAATGGTTTTCATTGATTCATCTACTGGCCTGTACAGATCAAATAAGGAAATCGCATGTTGAACGGGGATAGTCATTCAGTCATTCAAAAGTCACGGTGATTGGTTGAAAGGGAGATGAAATCAACCGTTTCCATGAGCGGAATGTTCGTGTATAATGAAACCACAATTAAAGGAAACATTTGATCGTCGTTAATCTTTTGTTCTTTGATCATGTTCACGAATTCAAAAGGCTGTGTCTAGCTATTTGCCGTCGGATTGGCTCTAGAATCTTAGCCATATGGGGAGTTGACCATTGATAGAATAGGTCGTAAAGGTAAGCCCGTCTTATGAACCTTTTGTAACCCCTACAGACGTGGGATCGTGGATCCACAGAGTTTAATCGTTTCGAAAGTGAATGTATCTAGGCGGTTTTGTCAGGCTCATTGGGAATGCGAATAAATTTAATCTCATCGGTCAACAATTTCTTTGCGACATTAGGCCACTGAAATTCGCCATTTTCTATTCGACTCTATTTTCGGCTTTCCTGTCTTTCTCCTACGGGTCATCCAAAGGGGTGGCCAAAAGACAGCAACCAAAACCGGCGCACGAAAGTGCCTGGTTAATGGTTGTACAAACTGAACTGTTGTTTCAGAACACACAAGCTTTTTCACTGAATTCATCCTGAAGTACAGTTATATTTCAAGTGGGCTATTATAAAATTACTCTTACTCCCTTTTGTCTGTTTTACAAAGTTTTCCGGCTGTTCAGATTGAGAGCAAGAACAACGACTACCAGCTCAGTGAACGTTGAAGCGCCTGATGATGTGTAGGCGTCACGCAACACAGCACATGACAATATTATTACCTTTTAAAGTCAAGTCCGTCGAATTATCGACTCTCCGGTCTTCTAATAACGACTGCTTTCCACTTGGATCTTCATGTAACTTCTAAATGAAAGGAAAATGTGTGACTACCGGCAAAGAGCACTGGACAGCTGTTTTATCCTGATTAGGACTCGTCCTTGCCAGTTGATCATCATACATTTTCATCACAATTAAATGTATTCAACTAGTGGGGAATTAACGACCTCTTAATGATTGAAACCCATACCCAAGATCATCAACAGTGCCTGAGGTCTGTGAAAAACCGAATGTTCTACCCCAAGCATTTACCGTCTGGACTTTAGATAGTTTGTTTAAATTTCATTAAATTTATGCATAGAGTAGATTTCCTGATATCTCGAACCCCTCGGGAATTCGAAAAGTGGGTAAATTTCAGGAACTGCGACATAGCAGGGTAAACATCAGTAGATGCTAATAAGTAGTATAATAATCGGTTGACAGTTTTGTGACAAAATAAACCGGATCGATGAAAAGTAGGTTACTCCAGTTATTTGTTCCCAATGTTTATAATTATAAATTGCTTATTTATAACGGAATTTAGATCTACCGTCCTGTTTATCCTTTATGTATCGAAGAAATTTAAATCTTTTATGACGCCCTCAGCTTAATATCGGTACATTGCATGCAGTATTCAGCCCTTATTCAGTTCTATTCCGAAACTACCTACCTTTCTTCAGGGGAAATTTTTCTGACCCAATTATCCCATATTAATTCCAGATATTCCTCCATTCCGTTGCAATGTTAGGCTAACCACAAAATTCATTATATGACGTCCACCACAACTGTTTTAGCTATAATAATCACATCAGTGGTAACCCCTTCAAGGAAAGCAAAGGTGAACCAGTTCGAATACAGAGAAAAGGAAATAACATCTAAAATGTGTGAAATATCTGTCACGGGGTGCACTCAGAATATTGACTTCTTTCCCATATTCAAACTGATTGTTCGTTGTGCACTGTTTTCGTGATCTTCTAGTGAAAAATGTGTACCATTAGCGTCTGTAGACGTCTATTCGCTAGCTCGCTTTTATTGTTATCAGTGTATATTCAAACTGACTGACGCAATCCTTATGATCATACCTTTTTCAAGTTAAGATAGCCGAGTATCAATTTAATGTCATGTTGCTATGTGGACAGTACGATAGTCTGATTACTCCATCGTTTCACATTGTCTTGTACTTTTTGTGATGATCTTGTTGTTATGTACAGTTCATCCGTGTGGTGAAGGCACTTCTGCTGTACAGCCGAAGTTCACTAGGTCTGCTAAAGACTCGCGGTTGTAGACAAGGCGTTGTTTCTGTTAGGACGGAGCTTAAGCAACCCGTCCCATCGCGCACCCCTCCAAGTCAGGTCACACGCACGCTCACAGCGCTTCAAACAGCCTGAACCGATTGGATGATCACAGAATGTGTCAGCCAATGTTTGTCCGATTGATCAATCGATATGTCAAGGACGCAATCTGATTGGTGCTTCACTGCGTCGTTCCCGTATGCATGACTTGTTCTAATATATTTGCGAATCGATATCTAATCGAAGAATACACACTGACTGTTGTCTCAAGCTGTGTTCTCTCCGTGTTATCGTTTGGGGGTTGATTAAGAGTCGCTCGTGTCATTCGTACGGCTAGATCGAACACAACAGCTGGCGACGGGAAAATTTACGGATCCACAATGTCGATCACGCCGGAGCAGTTATAAGCAATTCTCAAACAGCAGCAGGCACAATTCGAGGCCGCGCACCTAAGGATGATGGAGACCATGTTACAACGTCTCTGCACACATCCCAATCCAGCAAAACCGGTTAAACAGTCAACATCTATGGACGCTGTTGCCGCAAGCATCACTGAATTTGTTTACGACCCCGATGCAGGAATTACATTTGATTCCTGGTTCAAACTTTGGGAAGATGTATTCCATTTTGAATTCACAGATGCTGATGATGGATGTAAGGCGTGATTATTGCTCCGGATGTTGGGAACCAAAGAACACAATCGATAAATGAACCCGATCGGTCGTGTGATTTTCGGGCCGACATAGGAGGAGGATAAGTTCTGAATCGGATACTGTTTAAGTGTTGGTAGGGAATCACCACAGGAGAATCAGTTGTGGAACGATGCGCCATGTGGGAGATTCGGAATGAAAAAGTTTAAGCGATGATGACACTGGGCCAACGTTTGACTCGTCTAAGATACATTCACTATTTTTTAAGCGGTTTATCACGTAAATTTTCCGGCAGGCGTGAGACGGGAGTTTACTTGGAAGAAATTCACTCCTGTTCAGCCAACCGAAGGCCATAGACGCCAACCTACAGGAATTACAGCAACTCTCAAGCAATTAACGATTCATCAACTAAAAGTGTATCTCACAAACTGTCCTTAGACCCGCTTTACGATGATCTTTGGCAAGTGACCTGTCTAATTTCATAGGTGCTCTAGGACAAGTGAGAGTATCGTTCATTCCTTCAAACAGACGCGTCCGCGCGACGGTGTTTACTGATCGCTCGGATCTGACATCTCACTGCACTCACCCACTTACCAGTCGATCGTGATTATCGTTCAACCGTTTGCATGTTAGTGCGACAGAGCCCATCGATGGACCGAATGACCGTGGCTTTGATGACC